TGAAAAACAGTAACAGTTTTGCATTTTGCTCTAGGTTTGTTCTCTAGCCCGTAACTTGTATTTTGTCTGCAAAAATTTTTGCTCAGCAGTTGAGCAGATTCTTTAATTAGAGTGCTGGTTAAACCTTTGATGTCTGGAGTCTCAAATGAATGACATGTTCTACTTTCAAATGTTTCTTGGGCACTTGAAGGACCAGGCCGTACATAATTTTTAAATGAATGTTCTGCTTCAGTTGATTTAGTTTGCTCATTTTGAAGGACATGAGTTATAAAGCCAGTGGAACACAATTTTACTTGTCCATACCTAAAAACATTTATTCTTCCACAATCACTGGGCTCTTTTTCTCTCTGAGCACTATGTATGCTCAATAATCCTGTCTCAAAAGGCAGAGACTGGCATCCCATTTCAGTAGCATCTTCAAATCTCTCAAGTTGATTCTGAATTCTTTTGTTTTTCAATATGTTGGCAGCCATGCCACTAGCAGTTGTACTTTCTTTCTGTACTTCTAAATCTACCCCACTCTCCTCAAAGTGATGTTGTATCTGGAAAGGGCTTGAAAACATTTCTGAACTGATTCCATATGGACTTTCTAAAGAGTTATGTTCCAAGCAAGATTTTTTATGTTTCTCACTTTCTCTTGATTCTGATATTTCAACTGTCTCTTGTTCTAACATCCTTGATTCTAAGCAACAGCTGTCTTTGTTGTATAATGATAACTCTGTCATATTACTATGACTGGGGCCATCTGATTCATAAGTGTACAAAAATGAGCCATTTGTCTTTCTTCTGATAGCTTCTGAATCCCCAGAATTCTGTGTGTTTATATTTTCTATAGTAGCCTTTCTTTTCACAGCTTTTGACTGCAAATTAAACATTTCATAAGAATCCAAAATATTATTACACGCTTCCTGGAAACCGCCCTGGTCATGCTTCTCATCTAAGAACACATGTTTCTGAAGAGTAGCACCGAATAAATTCAAATCATTATCTTCACTGAATTCTTTAATGTCCTCACCTGATAATTCCACAAATAATTTTTCTTGCTTTAAAAACATTTTCACTCCTTCCTGAATGCAAACCAAGAGAGTATCCCAATTCTGAAACTCAATCAGAGTTTTTGCTGGCTCCATGCACACGTCATACTCACAGAACTGGCACTGCACATTGATGATATATATCCCGTGGAGTTCTGGGGTAGACCGATGCCGAGGACTTGAATTCATCTGCCTACTGGCAGAACCATTTTTTGGCTTACATATAGTACTTTCTTTTCTTAATAAAAAGTCGATAAGTTTATGCAACTTTGTCCTTAAAACCAGTCTTCTGTTCACAAACAAGAACTGCATATTCTTATTGTAATGTGCTTCAGAGCTGATATAGCCACTAAACTCAAACTCTTTGTATTTAAAATGTATTTCTCTTAACTTTTGGGACTTGCCTAAACCATAAATTTGACAAAACCGGGAGCATATGTCTTTGCTTTTAGGGAGTTGAAGAATCATAGAACCAGAAACATCATTTCTCAAAGAGAAAGAAACAGAAGGGTGCATGAGTGAGAGAGCTTCTACCCTCTGTCTGACTTTCTCAAACTCCAGTCTAGGATCCATGCATTTCCTCCTCACGGGTAAATGGTAAAATAGGTTATGAACCGTTATGGTTGTCCCCGCACTTGGTCTAGTCAAATCAGCTTCACAAGCTTTTAGGGCTTTTCCATTCTGAAACAGTTTCACAAAAGTTTTCATTGTCCTGTTTTTCTTGGATGAAATTTCCACAGCACTGGCCATGTCAGCTATGCTTGCCAAGGCCTCCCCTCGGAAACCATAAAACCTTGGGTTCTCCAAGTCCTCTAGCGAGTTGCATTTACTAGTGAAATAACGATTTCCCACCTTGTCCACATCATCAATCCCCATCCCAAATCCATTGTCTATCACTTGAACTTGGAAGGTTTCCATATTCACCCTGATGGCCACACATGTTGCTTCAGCATCAATACTGTTGAGGACAAGTTCCTCAACACATTGGCCTAAAGAGCTTATGGTCAAACCAGAACGCAATTTGGCTTGTACTTCAACTGACAAGCACTTGATCATGGCAGGTAGAGGTGATGAGAATGCCAGGCACTGGTTTCCTTCTCTGAATGGAAATAATTGCCTATTGGGGGAAAAAAACACTATCAAAGTTTCAGAGTTACACAGCATTATCCATTTCTCTCAAGTATTATATGAAGAAATATCATTTGAGGTAAATGGAATCTCTTATTAAACCAAGTTATGAAACAAAACAAAATTATCCCTCTTATTTCTAGACAGATCACACAACTAATGCTTGATGCAATGGACTTAACATCCAAAGAGGCACTCATAATTTCATTGCTTCTTTCTAAATCCCACATGCCCTTAAGTGAAATCATAATTAACTTGATGTTGACCCGTAAAGACAGTATTCGAAATTCTAACCACTTCACCAAAAACAGATGCCTAAATTAAATTCAGCTAAGAAACATTAGCTAGAAATTATTCATGAAAAAAAAAATCCAAGCTAGTTTCGTAACATACATTACACAATAACCATGACTTTTAGAAAAACTTATAATGAAGTGCTAAGATATTGTAAGTAGGAAGGTAAAGCCACGGGAGGAAATAAAAAAGACCAACTTTTCTATCGAGACAGGCATTAAGAGATTATGATGACTTGTTGTTATTACTGGTTAAACGTAGTTGCCTCAGGGAAGAGGCTGGGAACAGAATGGATGAGACAGAGAAACTCCTTTGCATATAAGACTTTGATTTTTAAGTTTTCTTGCAGGAAAAACTAAGGTTCTGTGAGCAGTAAAGGACCCCATTCTTCTTAAGTGAGAGGGAAGCATGGCTGCACTCCTTTGCAGGTGGCTGGTTTTCCAAACCTCGTAAAACCAGGGCTTATAATTGCAGAACCTCGGATGGTTAATTTAGCAGAGGACAGCATACAGGGTGGGGTGGGATGAGGTGAGTGTTTAATAAGTATTCTGATTAAACCCAAAGCAACGATTTCCTAATTACATCCCAGGACTTCCAGAGCCAAGGTTCCTGGAGAAACAGCCCAAGTCGTGCGAGTGCGGAGTTACGAAGGCCAGGAGACCGCAGGCCGGGTCTCTCCCGCCAGGCCTCGCAGGCCTCAGGCTCCACCCCTCCCTTTCCCCCGCCTGCGAGGTAACTCGCCGGTCACCCGCTAAGGCGCCCGCGCAGTCGGAAGGCCGCAGGAGCCTCGCGGGGCCCTTGCGCACTGGCTTCAAAAGGCTGGCCCGCAGCTGCCACCAGAGCCCTTCTGGTGGTAGAAGAGCTCGCGGGATCGTCCTTTCGCCACGTGCCTTCCCCCAAATCACCTCGAAACGCGCTTCACCAGCTCTCAGATATCAACCGCCACGGGCGCCGGCCGCGCGCACCTGGGCTCCAGTGAGTGCGCGCTAGCTCACGAGCATGCGCTTCACGGACTTGCCGCGAGCGCGCTTCGGCCCGCGACACCCAGCACGCATGCGCACAGGTGTTACCTGCCCCAGAGCTCTCGCTCCTAGCCCAAGTTCCCCAGCTCCGTCTTCATCCCCCTCCACCCCCCTCCTTTCTTTTCCGAGACAGGTTTTCACTAATTTGCCCAGGTTGGCCTTGAACCAGTCTCTGGGCCCGGCCTCTTTCTGGTAATTTTATTTTATCCTTTCTCTTTTTTTCTCCTTTGCACATACTACTATTTAATTTAGTGTATTTCGTTTATTTGCTTATCCCCTGCACCCCTTAGAATGTACACGATGTGACGGATTGGTTTTTTGTCCGTTATTATTTATGCTGTACCCCACGGCCAGGAACAGTGTCTGACCTATGGTAGCATTCAGTGACCAAATCTGGAACCTTCCATCTTAGAATGATTTTACAGAGTTGGAACAGACTGAGAAACTAGCTCAACTCTCTCAGTTTACAAATAAGACTCTAGGTCTTCCTTCACTGATTTTTTTGGTATCTTCCCAACGCCATGGCAGCCTCTTTCCTAACTGACGAAAAGCAGAACTCTTAAGAGCACTGAGAATAAATGCTTTGGGAGTTGTTAACCAATCCTCAGTTCTGCTGTCTCAATTTCATTGAAATCTTGTTTTTTAAAAAATTGGATCTTATGACAAAATATTTAAGCCTAATTACTATTGGAAATATATTCAGTCACTAACCAAACCAAATCAGACTTCTGGGGCTGATGAAGCAAAATTCTGATTATTGCATATATTAGGTTTGCTAGGGTTCCATAGCAAAATACCAGACTGGGTGGCTTAAACAGCAGGAATTTATTTTCTCGCAGTTCAGGAGGTGCTGGCACGGATGATTTCTTCTGAGGCCTCTCCTTGCTTTGTGAATAGCTGTCTTCACATGGTCTTTTGTCTGTTCATACACATATCTGTGTCCAAACTTCCTCTTCATTGTAAGGACACCCCAGTCAGATTGGATTAGAGCCTATTTAATCTTAATTATTTCTTTAAAAGTCCTATTTGCAAATAGTCACTTTCAGAGATGGAAGGATGGGACTTCAGCCTATGAATTTGGGAGGATCAAATTCAGCCAATAACATTAATTTATGTGAATTTCTTACCTAGAGGAAAGGAATGACAGCAAAACTTCCAGAAAACTAAGAGTAATTAGTCCAAAACATCATTGAAACTGCTAACAAATTAAACTGGTGGCATTTGTTCTTATGAGGCATGCAGTTTCCTGAAGAAAACTTCATGTAAACCACTTAAAGAAATGATTCAAAGTAACTGCTAACTTTTTCTTTTAGACTTCTTTAAATGATCTCAAAAATATTTCTCCCACAAATGTTTATTGAATAAATATTTCATTTTGCCCCAAAGGCAGTTCACTAAGGATTTAAGAAAGTAGCATAAACAGGACGGGGATGTAGCTCAGTGGTACAGTACTTGTTTAAGCATGTGCAAGGCCCTGAGTTCAATCCCCAGCACAGGAAAAAAAAAAAAAAAGAAACGTAAGTACATGGTTCTAAAGTGTTTTATTAGAATTGTGTAAAGTTGTGTTCCATCACACATGTAACATGCAGTTACAAATATTTGATACAAAAATAACTAATTCTAATATTGAACACAGAATAGTTTTATATTAATAATAAAAACCAAAACTGAGTTTTTCTTGGAAAATTTAAATTCAGGCCATTATTTCACAATTTGGAACTCTGAATAATCCAGCTTCAAGATGACTTTCTCATTGCTGAAATTTGCTCTGTCAATGTGCGATTTGGGACTTCCTTTTGTCTCAAGCCATTCCTGCATGCGACGCACCTTGGAGATGGGACCTTGCAATTGTCCTTGTACTGTGCCCCGGTCAGTGTTCTGGACCCAGCCTACCAATCCTAGCTTTTTACCCTCAGCCTAAGGGGAGAATGAGAGAGAGAGAGAGACATACAGATCCAGTGAGACTGAACAAAATAAGACTATAATCTCTTGCCGGAATCTTGGCCTAGAATCAAGCCACTGAAACCAATTTGATACTGTCCAGAAAAGTCAAAACAGAAAGACAGCAAGGAGGATCTCATTGCTGATCTTAACATCAAGTGTTGGTCACTTGACTCCATTTCCTTCTTTCTACTCTATAAAACCCAGGCACTAGAATTTTTCAATATGTAGTAAATTTGGTTAAGTACTAAAGACTTAAGTCCAAAACAGATGCTTTTATAATGATCCCTGAAGGCAGATTGTTTTTTAGGATATTGGGTTGTATCTTGTTCATTTAACCTTAATCAAGAATCTACTGGGTAAGGTAAATGGAAAAAGCGTGAAGTTATCTGATCCTTCCCTTTGTCTTTAACCAGGACCACACCTAAACATAACCAGATGAATTAGTGTCCATTATATCTTTAAAGATCATTAAAGAGTATTTTGCAATTTTCTGGGCAACTCATCCATTGTTTGTACTGTAGAGAAACTAACTGTCTAACCCAACATGTTTATGTTGCATTCAAAGCCCACTTTCTGTCAGCCTCCTAGAGAAGGAAAACAGCTGTGACCAGTCTCTGAACACCAAGCTTTCATGAAACTACATAACTATTAGGTTTTCACTTGACTTTCTTCTCCTTTGTCTAAATAATCATAATGTCCTTAAAGTTGAATAAACTTACAAAAGCCAACTAATCACTGTAGTGGCTTTTTTTTTTTCAATCTTATTTCCTTTAAGTCACTAAGCTATGGCAAGACTTGAACATTTAGAAAAAGGTAGCAATATTTTAGATATGTTTATTTTTGTGTAAATATATAGTTAGAATAGTATAAAGGTCATTGATTATAAAGTAATATATCTAATAAAAGAAGGTTCGTGAATTACAAAAGAAAATGGGAATTAACATGATTGCATGTCTAAATGCCAAAGTAGTGACCCAGTAAATGTGGGAAATTGCTGAGTTCACCAAACAAAACTTTATGTAGAGCAGGGAAAAAAAATCTATGATAAGAAACTGTAGCATCCATCAAATCAGGTAGGTTCAAAGCAAAGACATGTCTGCATAATGAACAAAAGGGACTCTGGTCAAATAACTGTTTAAGGGAGGAAATTAAGGAATGAAGAAAAACAGGAGATACCTACAGCATGCATTGCTAAGTGCCAGAGGAGAAAACGTAAAAGAAAAATGCTGAGAATGGACTTTGATGAAGACTCAATATCCAACTGACTAACAATTGCACTGTTCTACTTCAAATTAACATAGGGGGGTTGGCCATCTCTAGTACTTAGAGTTACCATATATGGTAAATAGCTATCAGACTGATAGTGCAGTTTTGAGCACACAGGGTTATAACAGTCAAATCTTTAAACTGCAGTGAACTCCTGAGAATCAATAAAACACTCCAAAATTTGAAAAATCTATTTGTGCACTCAATTCTCTTAATTTCTTAAGGAATAGCATAATGTGGGCTGGGGCTGAAGCTCAGTGGCAGAGCGTTTGCCTTGCACATGTGAAGCACTGGATTCAATCCTCAGCACCACGTAAAAATAAACAAATAAAATAAAGGCATGCTGTCCATTTACAACTACAAATTTTTTTTTTTTAAAAAAAAGAATAGCATTGGGCTGGGGATGTGGCTCAAGCGGAAGCGTGCTCGCCTGGCATGCGCTGTGGCCCGGGTTCGATCCTCAGCACCACATACAAACAAAGATGTTGTGTCCGCCAAAAACTAAGAAATAAATATTAAAAAATTCTCTCTCTCGCTCTCCTCTCTCTCTTTAAAAAAAAAAAGAATAGCTCATTCATGTTCAACTTTGTATATCTGCCTTTAAGTGAGGAAGCGCGTGTTTTTTTAAAATAAAATTCCAAAAGCTAATTTTACCTTATAACCATATTTCTGCTTAAACAATGTTCTGACATTTTTTTATAACAAATTTAAGGATTATGATCATCAATTCTAGTTTGCAATCTAAAAAGAAAGTCTTTTCAAATCAGTAACTTAGAATTCCATCTTAATAGAAAAAGAAGAGTGAATGAAACTAAAAGCAAGCAGAAGGAAATAATAAAGAATAAGCCCAGTGAGGGGGCACATGCCTATAATCCCAGTGGCTCAGGAGGCTGAGGCAGGAGTTCAAAGCCAGCCTCAGCAAAAGCGAGGCACCAAGCAACTCAGTGAAACACTGTCTAAATGAAATACAAAATAGGGCTGGGGATGTGGTTCAGTGGTTGAGTGTCCCTGAGTTCAATCCCTGAAACCATCCTCCTCACCCCCCAAAAAGAGCAGAAGTCAATAAAGAATAGAAAAATGAAGAAAATAAGTAAAACCAAAAGTTAGTCTTTGAAAAGGTCAACAAAATTGAAAACCTTTAGCTAGACTGACAGAAAGAAGGCTCAAATGATTAAAATGAAAGAGGGGCTATAACTACCAACCTTACAAAAAAGGGACAACTATGAACAATGGTATGCCAACAAATTAGACAACTTAGGTAAAAAGGACAGATTCCTAGGAAGACAAATTGAATCAAGAATAAATAGAGAGCTGTAGCTGTAGCTCAGTGGCAGAGCACTTGCCTAGCATGTGTGAGGCACTGGGTTCAATCCTTAATATCACATAAAAATAAACAACTAAAATAAAGGTATGCTGTCCATCTACAACTACAAAAAAAATTTTAAACAAAACAGAAATAGAAATGGAAAATCTGAACAGACTTATTATAAGAGATTAAATTAGTAATCAAAAAACTTCAAAGGAAAAGCCCAGGACCAAATGGCTTTTCTTTGATAAAATTTCTTTCTTTCTTTTCTTTTCTTTTTTTTTTTTGATAGAATTCTATAAAAAGTTTAAAGAAATTCACCAATCCTTCACAAATTTTTACAAAAAATAGAAGAGGAAACACTTCCCAACTAATTCTATTCATCTAGCATTATCCTCATACAAAATCAAAGCATCACAAGAAAAGAAAACTTTAGACCAACCAATAGCTTTTATGAATACAGCAGCAAAAATCCTCAACAAAATACTAGCAAACCAAACCCAGAAAATATAAAGAAGATTACATAACAAGACAAACTGGGTTTTATGCCAGGAATGCAAGGTTGGTTCAACATACAAGAAGTAATCCATTTAATATGCCATATTAATGAATAAAACAAAACTACACAATCCTCTCATTAATGTAAAAAAAAAAAAAAAAAGCACTCAAAAAAATCCCCAAACTCTTTTATGATTAAAAACATTCAAGAAACTAGAAACAGAAAGGAACTTCCTAACCTGATAAGAGTATTGAAAAGCCCACAAATTAATATCATACCTAATAGTGAAAAGCACTGAAAGCTTTCCCCATAAAGCAGGAACAAACAAAGATATCTGCTTTTGCCACTTTTATTCAAAATTTTATTTATTATCTTTAAGGTTGTACTCAGGGCAGGGAAAAAGAAAAGGCACTCGGAAAGGAAGAAAGAAACTTACCTCTACTTGCAAATGACATACTCTGTATACCAAAAATCCTAAGGAACACAAACACACACATAAACTAGAGCTAATAAACAAGTTCACATGGTTACAGGAATCAAGATTGATATACAAAAATCTATTATATTTCTAAACACTAGCAATGGACAACTGAAAAACAAATTAACTAAGCAATCCCAATTACAATAGCATCTAAAATCATAAAATGCCTAGAAATCAATTTAACAAAAGAAGTAGACAATTACAAATCATTGTTGAAAAAGAATAAAGATTTAAATAAAAAGGCTTTCCATGTTCATGGACTGGAAGACTTCATATTAAAATGGCAATATTCCCAAATTAATCTATAGATTCAACACAATCTATCCAAAAATCTCAGATCTTTTTTTGCAGAAATTGACAAATTTCCCTAAAATTTACATGGAAACATAAGGGACCCAGAATAGCTAAAAATAATCACAAAAGGGAAGAACAAAGTTGAAGGACTCACTTTCTGATTTCTGAACTTTTCCAAAGCTACAATAATCGAAGTAGGAAGCTACAGTGCACACCTAATTCCAGCTACTCCAGGTGCTGAGGCAGGAGGACTGCAAATTCAAGGCCAGCTTTAACAACTTAGCAAGACTCTGTCTCAAGATACAAAGGGCTAGGAGTACAGTTCAGTTATTGGGCACTTGCCTAGAATGTGTGAGGTCCTGGGTTAAAAATAAAAAATAAACTACAGCAACTCAGACAATGTGGTATTGGCATTAAAAAAAAGGCATACAGATCAATGGAAGTAAACTAAGAGTCCATAACCCCTACAATTTTGAAAAGGGTGCTATGATGAATCAATGGAAGAAATATTAGTCTTTTCAACAAATACTTTTGGAACACCTGGATATCCATATGCAAAAGAATGAAGTTAGGGTTGGGGTATAGCTGCATACGTAGTATGTACAAGACCCTGGGTTCAATCGCCAACACACACACACACACACACACACACACGAATAAGATTGGACTTCTTAATGCCAACACTAAAAAAATCAAACTTGATTAAAGACTTAAATCTAGAAGCTTAAACTATGAAAGTCTTAGAAGGAAACGTAGGCATGAATCTTGATCTTGGATGAGGCAAAGGTTTCTTAAATGTAATACATGCTAAATTAGACTTCATCAAAATTAAAAACTATGCCCGGTGCCTGTTATCCCAGCAGCTTGGGAGGCTGAGGCAGGAAGACTGCAAGTTCAAAGCCAGGCCCAGCAACTTAGTGAGGCCCTAAGCAACTTAGCAAGACCCTATCTCAAAAATAAAAATAAAATAAAATAAAATAAAAAGGGCTGGTGATGTAGCTCAGTGGTTAAGCACCCCTGGGTTCAATCACTGGTACAAAAAAAAAAAAGAAAGAAAGAAAAACTTTTGTACTTCAAAGGACATTATATTATCAAGTGAAATGATAATTCACAGAATGGGAAAAATATCTGCAAATCATACATCTGATAAAAGACTAGGGTCCAGAATATATAGGAAATTCTTATGAATCATACGAAAAAAAATAACTCAAAAAACTAAGCAAAGGATTTAAATGGAAATTTCTTCAATGAAGATATGCAATATCTTCTTTCACATGTCAATAAACACATGAAAAGATGTTTAACATCTTAGTCATTAGGAGAAGGCAAATCAAAATCAGAGTATACAAATACAGCAGAATATTACCAGATTTTTAAAAAGAGGAAATGCTGATACATGATCCCTGAATGAACATTGAGGACATTATACTAAGTGAAATAAGCCAGTCACAAAGGAACTATACTGATTCTACTTATGAGTTACCTTGAATAGTCAAATTCATAAACAGGAAAAGTAAAATCACAATTGTCAGGGACTGGGCAGAGGGAAAAATGGGGAGTTAATGGCTAATGGGTACAGAATTTCAGTTTTGCAAGATAAAAATAATTCCATGGATAGATTATGGTGATGGTAACATAACTATGCATGAATGTACTGAGGGTCACTGAACTGTATATTTAAAATGGTTAACATTGTAAATTTTACATTATGTGTATTCTACCACAACTTTAGAAAAACATGCTGTATAATTTCCAAATAGTTTTGGATTTTCCAATTATCTTTAGTTACTGATCTGTATGTTCTCCACTATGACCTAAATCCTTTTAAATTCCTTGATGCCTGAAAACAAAACAAATAATGACAAAAATTCTCAATGTGAGACTATTACCTCACTTCCTCTGGGATAGTTGTAATAAATAAGGTAGTGACAAGGGTTGGCAAGGATCTGGAAAAACTGGAATTCTCATAAACTGGTGGTGGAAATGTAGAATGGTTTAGTGGTTTTGGAAAAATTGGCGGTTCCGCAAAAAGTTAAACAGAGTTGTCAAATGACCTTGCAATCTACTCCTAGGTATATACACTTAAAGGAACAGAAAATACTGTCTACACAAATACATGTAATAAATGTTCACAGCATTATTCCTAATAACCCCAAATAGGAAACAACCCAAATGTCCATTCATTAATAGAATAAAATATAATAAATCCATACAATGAAATATTATTCAACCATAAAAAGGAACAAAATACAGATACATACTACAATATAGATGAACTTTGAAAACACTGTTAAGTGAAATGAACCAGAAACAAAAGGTCACATTTGTATGATTCCATTTTAATATTAAATGTCCGGAATAGGCAACTCCATAGAGACAGAAAGTAGGTTAGTGGTTGCCAGGGGCTGGGAGAATAAGGAGTAAGTGCTAACAGGTAGGTTTTCTTTTCTGGGGTGATTAATATATTTTGAAATTAGTGTGCAACTTTGTGTAAATGCAAAAAACCACTGAATTATACTTTTTTAAAGGATGAACTTTATGGAATGTGAATTATATTCCCACTTAAAAAACAGCTCATTCCCGTATTCTCATTCATTTCTCTAGAAGTGATGAAATTTAATTCAGGACTTAGATGATATTGACATGCAAAGTGACTATAGCAAAATAAGACAACTGTTAAAAATAACATATATTTAAATGATTATAAATGGTAAAGAATAAGCTACAATCTAATTTTAAAATGACATTTTCCTTGTAGTCTTCCTAACCACTACTTGTTTTTCTGCATTCTTTTATTCTCTCTTTGACAGAGGGTAAAAGGTGGCAGGTATAGTAAGATGGACTATATACTATCTGGTCCTTTTCTCTGAACAACTTTGACTAATCTTTGAAGTTGTCACCTTGATTTATTAAGTCACAGAAACTTACTCTGCACTGGCAGCCAAACTAATTAGAACTTAGCTCTTGCAATGACTTTCACCAACTCTCTTTTCAACAAGCACTTCTCATATGAGTATGAAACAGAAAGAAATGATTTGCAAATAATTAGAATAAGAGGTATTGACAGAGTGGGAGGAATATTATTATTATTTTAAACTTTAATTGCTAAGAGGTGCTTATTTTAAAAATGTGTTCAATAAAATGAAATTCTGAAGAAAAAAAAAGAGGTATTGACAATTGACATTCCTATTTCAAAGATTCAGGTTTGAATTTTGAGTACCACAGTCCCAGCAGTGTAACACCTGGAAAATCTGGCAATCCTAACTCATTACCCATTGAACACAGAGTGGAATTAGACACAGAGTGGGAGGCAATAGTCTGATATCTCCCTGCAGAAGGCAGGAGGGAAATTGAGATTGCACTTGGGTGTGTGTATGCTAAGGGAAGATTACTGACACTAAAGCAGAGGTAACAGTTTGTTTATCTCCTCAAATACTCTGTATTAATATAGTAGGAATACCAGACTCCATGTTCTGTGTTACCATTATCTAGGTAATCTGGAAAAGATAAAATATTTTTAGTTAGAAAATCTTCAGCTGGAAAAGGTGAATGTTCTTCCACAGCTAAAATGAACAGAAAGGAATTCAGTTGGGATGTTGGGAGATGGTTGGAGAAATGATAAAGGTTGGAGAGAGAAATAAAATGTAGCAGTTATGGGATTGGAGTTGTAGTTCAGTGGTAGAGTGCTTGCCTCTGTGTTCGATTCCCAGCACCACATATAAATAAGCAAATAAAATAAAGGTCCATCAACAACAAAAAATATATGTGTGTGTGTATGTCTTTATATATGTGTGTCTTTATGCGTATATATATATATATATATATATATATATATATATATATATAAAACGTAGCAGGTATGATTGAAGTAATAACTTAATTTACAGAAATATGATCAGTTCTTCTAAAGGCCATTTTTCCTCGATGAGAGGTAGCCTTCCTACAACAAATGTGACTACGTTTGATAAAACCACAACAAGGTGAACTAGACATATTCCCCTTCGGAAGAAAAAGACCGTTAACAAGTTTGTCTACATGTTCAGACACCACTGTTAGAAACAGGCCAATAATAACATCAGGAGAATCTTCCATTTACATCATGTTTTACAAACTGCAAAGCATTTTCACATCCTTACCATTCAGCTACCGAATGCCAGCTTCTTCCAGTTCACATGTCAGAAATGCGTCTCTGGTTCCCAGAATTATAACCTAGGCATGTCCCCAAAGCCTGTAGGCCACATACCTGAGTGTACTTGCGGAAAAACACCCCTTGCACCTTCCCAAAAATTTCGTAATCCACTGATACCAAGGTGTCCCCTTCTGCCATGCTCAAACCTGTCAGAGACCAGGAAAGCAAAAATAGTAAAGGACGACCCCAGGACCGCCAATCCACAGGCAGAAAGAAAGGGCCACATGGCCCTTCTCCATCCATCACCACTGCATCCTGGACTCCAAAGAGCAAGTGAGTGGACTGGCATAAACGGAAGCCTGTGAGTAACAGGAAGACACCTGGGGAGGGAACCTGGGCCCGGTAGAAGCTCCTCAGGGGCAGACACCTGCTGACCCAATTACCTGTCCCGCTCCCTCCCATCCACTCCTCTTCCCACTCAGCCGCCAGAATCCCCTTCCACAACATTCAGGACTAATCGAACTCAGGGCCATGCCTTGGGGCCCTCTCCCCAGCTCACCCGCCTCTTTTCCCCACAGGGGGCCGAATCACACCGGCGACCACCTAGCGAACCGCCCCCAGCCGCGCAAACGGCCGCTCCCGGAAGTTTAGAGTGTGGCTCCTCCTTCGCTGCCTCGCACGCCCATTACCTCGCTCGACCAATCAGGGGGGGCGTCTTACCCCTGAGCCCGCCCAGTGGACTGGAGGTCCAGCGGCTGGGCGCCCGACTTGGGAATGTGTTCAGTGTCTCTCTCGTCTTCCATAGACTCACCCCGTAACCCGTCTCAGTCGCTAAGTGTACCCCTCTTCTGAGATTCTCAAAAGTAAAAAGGCATAGACGACGAGAAACGCTGGGATACATTCATTTATTCAATAAACACCGACTGTCAGCCTTCAGTAAACACCACTGACACATAGTAAAGGACGACCAGGCGCTGTTCTAGGCACTTGGCATACATCAGTAAACACAACAGAATCCTGCCCTAAGGGAATTTAAATTCTGGAGCTGGGAGTCAGACAACAGACATTAAACATCATAAATAAATAAACTGAATAGGACACATGCCACTTTTCTGGACTCTTTCAATTTGGGGTCATGCCTAGCAGGGGGGAGATACAGGACATCTTGGTGGAGGTTATTTCTCCTGGAATTCTGGAAGCTGTCCATCAGAGACTACCTTACTAAGAAAATGCTTGAAGAACTAAATAAAGGAAACACATACACAAGCAAATGGTTCATGGCTCTAGAATCTCAGTTGACTTAGTCTAAACCAAATTACCAAATTTCATGAATTTATTTTTGTCTAAAGGGAATTGTCAAGGGGGTGTTGTAGGTGACATTTGTTAAAATTAGAGTCAATTTTCAAACATTTAAATCCAGCCACCCTTATGATTAAGAATGTGTATGAAGCTGGGCATGGTGGTGCACACCTGTAATCCCAGAGGCTTGGGAGGCTGAGACAGGACAATCAAAAGTTCAAAACCAGATTCAGCAACTGCAAAGCGCTAAGCAACTCAGTGAGACCCTATCTCTAAATAAAAAATATAAAATAGGGTTGGGGATGTGGCTCAGTGATTGAGTGCCCCTAAGTTCAATCCCCAGGACCCCCCCCCACCACCAGAAAAACGTGTATGAATGGTGCACCCCTGTAATGCCAGCGATTTGGGAGGCTGAGGCAGAAAGGTTGCAAGTTCAAGGGCAGCTTCAGCAACTTAGTGAGGCCCTAAGCAATTTAGCAAGATTCTGTGCCAGAATAAAGAAAAAAAAAAGAACTGGGAATGTGGCTCAGTGGTTAATCACCCCTGTACCAAAAAAAAAAAGAAAGAAAGAAAAAGAATGTCTGTGAAGGAAAACTGATGTTTATTGTTCCTCTTTGGATTGCTTGTTTATTGCTTGTATGCATTACATCCCTCTGTAAAACTCCATTTGTGAATATGCCAGGTTGGCAGACTTGGCATAGTGAGGTGGGTTTGCAACAATAGACATGGAAATTCATCATCCCATTAGCTCCCCACTATAGATTAAGGATCCAGGTCCTACAGAATCTTAAAACCCCCAGTGCAGTGACAGCTGGATTTAATGCTGTACATGGAATTATTTGAAAATGATGCACCTGGCTGATGTTATTTCTTTAAAATTCATTTTAAAAAAAGGTTTTCTCCGGAATTTAAAACTTATTGAGTGTCTCAATGTATGGGGCATCATATGGTATACAAAGATGAATAATAAATAATTTTTGCCCTCAATTTAGTGTAAGGGATAAATATGCATGCACATAATGATAATTCAATGCATGACATGGCAATTCAGTTCCATGAACACCTACTGAGAGCTGCTCAATATGAACCAGATAGAAAATGTTAGAAGGAGCAGAGAGTAATTCTGACTGGGAAGACTAGGAAAGTGTTCTTGGAAAGTAGTTTTCCAGAGTTACATGACCACAATTTGATAATTTGATTCCAGGCAGCCAGTCCAGAGTCCATTCCCCAAAATTCCATGACTACCACCACCCAGTTTGTGGAGCTTGTGGTAAGGTGGTACCACGGAGAGGAGACAGTACAAGAAGTCACCACAGCTAAACCAGGGGCTCTCCACCCTGGCTGCATATTAGGACTTTTAGGGAAGCTTTTAAAGCTATGGATGCCTGGGCCTCACCCAAGATATATATTCTTTGAGCATTTTTTTTTTTTTGTACTGGAGAAAGAACCCAGGGACCCTTTACCACCAAGCTACATCCTTGTACTTTTTTTGCTTTTTATTTTGAGACAAGGTTTCATGCTAAGTTGCCCAGGCTGGCTTCAAACTTGTGATCCTCCTGCTTCAGCCTCCCAAGTTGCTGCAATTATAGGCATGTGCTACACAGTGCCCAGCTTTTTAAGAAATCTTAATGCACAGCCAGGGTTGAGACCTACTGGGCTAGACGCTGGGGTTTATTCAGGGGAGGCAGGGATGAAAAGATAGGTTGGACCTAATAGAAATGCCATGCTAAGTATGCATTTCAATTTCATTCTACGGGTGAAGGAGTCTTCACCAGGAGAGGAAAATGATAGGATCAGTATTTAGTAAGCTAAATTTAATCATTTCACAATGTATGCATATATCAAAGCATCACATTGTACCCTATAAATATATACAATTTTTATTTATAAATTTATAAATAAAAAGTGTGTATGTGGTACTTGGGAATCCAACCCAGGACCTCACGTATGCTAGGCACATGTTCTACCACGGAGCTTCATCCCCAGCCCCTGTCAATTATCTCGATTATCTCTCTCTCTCTTTTGCAGTACTGGGCATTGAACCCCGGGCCTTAGCACATACAAGGCAAGCACTCTACCACTGAGCTATATTCCCAGTCCCCTTTAAAAAAAAAAAAAATTAAGGCAGGATCTTGCTAAGTTGTCTAGGCTGGCCTTGAACTTGTGATCCTCCTGCCTCAGCAGCCAGGCTAGTTGGGATTACAAATGTGTGTCAGCATACTTGACTTCAATTATATCTTTTTTTTTCTTCAGGGCCTCATGCATACTAGACAAGTGCTGTATCACTGAGGTACATCCCAGCCCCTCAACAAAATCTTAATAAAGCCAAGAAAGAAGTATTTAGACTCATTAGTCTGGCAGCATCAAGAAGGATGGGTTTGGGAGCAGATGTTAAAGGCAAGTGTAACAGTAAGAAGCGTGATAGCATCCCAATGAGAAGTATGGAAGAACTCAACTAGGGCACTAAAAACAAACAAAGGGACATTATTTATTTATTTATTCACAGTAAGGAGAATTGAACCCACAGTCATTTTATCAATGAGCTCCATCCCCAGTCCTTTTAAAAATTTGAGACAGGGTCTCACTAAGTTGCAGAGGCTGGTCTTGAACTTGCAGTTCTCCTGCCTCAGCCTCTCTAGTAGCTAGGATTACAGGAATATGCCATTGCCACCGTGCCTGGCAGGAAGGGCTACTTATGGGAGACATTCGAGAAGCAAACTCAACAGAACCTGCAGGTCAGTCAGAAGAAAGAGGTGATAAAAGGAAGGTGTGGAAGGTGAATCTTGCTCTGAGCAGGAGTGGGGATGTGGAGAAGCAGCAGACTGGGGATGGAGAGGTGATTAAGAGCTTTGTGTTCTGTCACACTGAGCTTGAGGTTCCTGAGGCTCAGTCATGTGCAGGTGTTAAATGGGCAGTTGGAAAATTCTAACTACGGAGACAGGCTACAGTTCAGCTGAACAGCATTTAAACATAGGTGAAACCTGAAATTTCAGCATTTGATAAAAGGAAGAGAATGTCTGGAACTGCACATATGTAAAAAGTAAGAAAGAGGGCTCAGGAGAATACCTAAATTTAGAGAACAAGTGGGAAAAAAGACATAAATGCCAGAGACCTGGAAGAAGGTGGAGCAAAGACATGAAAAAAGAAACCAAGAAGGAGCAAGTGAAAAGAGTTCTAAGATGGTGATTAATCAATAATGTCAAGTGAGTAGGCTTGAAAGAGAAGCTTGTCTTTGGTCATGAGAAGGTCACTGGCAGCCACGCAATTAAATAAACTGGAGAGGGTAGCAGCAAGACCACAGTGGAACAGACAATGAGTGGGGGGGAGGGGGGACAGCAGATGTAGTTTTCTATTAAGAACTCTTGTGGAGCTGGGCGTGGTGGCCTTCATCTGTAATCCCAAGAGGCTGAGGCAGGACACGCTAGGCCAACCTGGCCACTTAGCAAGACCCTATCTCAAAATACAAAATTTAAAAGGGCTGGAGGTGGAGCTCAGTTGTAGAGAACCCCTGGGTTCCATTTCCCGTAGGGGTGTGGGGGCGCGGAATGAGTGGGATCCTAATATAGAGATGACAGGTCAACGGAAATGAGATTTGTTTTGTAGGGAACAGTTAATGTGTTTTAACACCGAAGAAAAGGAGCCTGTGGAGATTAACAAGATGGAGGGGTAAAGTGATGGAGTCAATTCCTTGAGGGCTCTGAAAGAAAGAAATTCAGGAGAGAGGCCCTTCTTTCTCAGAAAGCAGAGGGAAGGCAGTCAGAGGGAGGGTAACATGCTGGGAAATTCTACTAGCTTGCGGGGAAGCTGTGGAAGTTGACAAGATACAGGGGGAGGCTGAGATGACCTGGCCCTAAGCAGAGTAGGGTATGTTCCCATTTGCATACATCTGTAATCCCAGCAGCAGAGGAGACTGAGGCAGGAGGATGGAAAGTTCAAAGCCAGCCTCAGCAATTTGGTGAGGCCCTAAGCAACTTAACAAGACCCTGTTTCAAAATAAAAAAATACATAAAAGGGCTGGGGATGTGGCTCAGTGGTTAAGTGGCCCTGGGTTTAATCCCTGGTACCAAAAAAAAAAAAAAAAGAAAAAGAAGAGTCAACTAGGAATAAAAGAACTGCCCTTGGAGGGCCCACCAAGAAATCTGTTAACATGTGACGGCTCCAATCTGACATGCTGAAGTGCTAACACCGACTGCTGCTGTCTACATTGTTTTCCATGTGCTGGAATCTTTTGAGTAGGGAAAAAGTGAGCTGCCTGTTCTAAACAGCTTACCCAAATTAACTGAAGCATGAAGAAGACAAATAAATTCTCTTCTGATGTCAAAAAGTTAGAGTATCATTTAGTGTTGAAACCAAGTTATGCCTGATTATTTCCGATCCGGTAGTTAAATTTATTATCATTACATTTGGCTGAGTCATTCCTGAGCCCTAAGTAGAGACGTCCAGAGTTACCACGTGAGAGAAAACATTATAATATTAAAATAATTAGATTGGCCACAAAAACTACCCCGGAAAGACTGGGTAGGGGAAAAAAAAGAAAAAGAAAAAGAAAAATTGACAGCAAGCTCCAAAGTACTGGCAAGGGAAGAAAGCACGGAGAGCACATAGCCATACCTGGGGCCCGGGCAGAGCAGCCGAGCGTGCTAAGAAAGGCTATCAGCAGGCCCACTCCGGCTAACCAGGCGGATACCGGAATCCTGCGGCGGGATGACTCTGGGGCACATCTAGGGGTTCCGCCCTTTGCCAGAGACGGGCACACCCCAAGGTCAGGGAGCATCATTCTCAGAAAAATACAAGTTCTTCTTTGATGGAGCCCCAGAAAAGCCTTTCCTGCCCCTCCCCCTTTTCCCAAGGGCAGGGCTGAACTGAGCTGCAGAGTTGGCTGGACACTGGGTCAAGTGACACTGAGACCGACCGCACCCCACTGGCCCCGGCCGCTCTGGACCGCGTGCAGACTGCGCCTGCGCGCGCCTCCCAAGCGGAGTTACGGGGGAGAGGCGAGGAGGGGCGCGCTCCGCGCTCAGGTCTCCAGGCAACTGGAATAACAGAAGCCAGCTAAAAGCGCCTGCGCGGCTGTCGTTTGCTGAAGGGTCTGGTCTCCAAAGCTAGGTCCTGGGGTTTTCCCTGAGCTGGAGCGGTGCCGAGAGCCTCAGGTACCGGGAAGGGAGAGGAGACTTGGGGTCAGCACCTTGACCTCCGGAGGGCCTTAGGAGCAGGAGAGCGAGGTCTTGTTCCCCCAAAGCGGAGTGCCCAGTGAGGATTCCCGCTTGACCCTCCTGGACAGAACATAACTTCCCGTTCCGAATCCAAACCCGGCCATGGCCAGGTCAAATGGCCCCCACCTCTCAAGTTACAGGCCTTCCACCGTCTGTGCCGTGGGGACTCCTTGGATAAAGGATTTGACAACCAGGCTCTAGTGGCTTCTGTGCTTCTTGGAGTCCTGCACCGTTCCATCAGGAGGAAACCCCTGAGAACTCTGCACTAAGCCACTGGGTTTCATTTTTCTTACCTGTAAAACGTTTAATTTACAGGTGAAGAAACTGGGGCCAGCAAGAGGAAGTTGTTGTTCTGTGTCACAGTCTAAAACTTGACCTTCAATCCAGTGCTGTTTTACCTCCTTCATAATAACGTATGGCAGAGGCTGGGATTGGTGGAAAGGAAACCTAAGTGGCAGGAACACTTGTATCATGTTCATTTTTCTATCCTCAGGGCCTAACACAGTGTCTGACACTTGATCATCACTCACCATATGCTCACTGAAGGGAATCTCTGGCAGAATCAGCTCCACTGTCCCTAGAAAAGTTTAAAGGGAAATGTGGGCAGGGCAAATGTAGAAACAGTTTACTTTAGCAGCTGGGAGTGAACCTCAAACAAATTCTTCACATGTATCTGGTTTAAATCTTCCCTAGGCTTCAGTCCAGGCCCTGAATGGCTGGTCTCCAGTTGGCTCCACATCTGCCTGTGGGCGTTATGTTCCCACATAATAAAACGGAAGCTCCAGGGCTCCACTCAGCCAAGCAAGACCCTTATGAACAAGGTGACTCTTCCCAGCGATCCTCGATGGGGCAGAACAATTTTCAGCAGAAGCTTTTGAGCAACAAAGAACTGGCACTGGATAATGTCTACTCTCAACCCAAATGGAACACCCGCACACCAGCCCGGAGCTACTCTTATCCCCACTGTGCTGGAATCAGCCAGCGAGACATGGGCAGTGATCTCCTGGGCCAAGGAAAGGGTTTGCTTTACCCAAGTTCTCAGTCTCGATATCCCAAAGCAAATGACCAGGACTTCATCCCCTTTACAAAAAAGCGAGTTGGGGTGGACCGGGCATACCCACTGAAACCCATGGTCCACCGCAAGTATCATAGTACAGGTGAGGCCAGCACTGATGGGGACCAGAATGTCTGCCTAAGAACCCCTGAGCCAAGAGAATTTACAGACAGCAATTTTGATTTGAGGAATGGGGTGAACTCATCTGTTCTTGCTGACTTGCAGCGGGAGAAGGCCAGGGCAAACCTCCGAAGGACTGAGTGGCTGCAGATCCAAAGATTGGAAGCTGCAGGGGAGAGCTTAGAGGAGGAAATTCGAAGAAAGGAGATTCTCCTGAGAGAAAAGCTGAAGAAAATAGAAGAGGAACTTAGAAGGATCCAGAAGGTAAAAGAACAGGCCAAGGGAAATGAAGACAGAGGGCTACAGAGAATGATCTTTCCCAGGAAGGAAGTTGATAACAGCAACACAACATACAAACCTGTTTTCTCCCCACAATTTGGGTCTGAAGAGGTATTTAGTAGAGACAGGAGAGAGGACGAAGCCTGGGGACAGCCTCAAGAAAATTTTAGTTCATTCCAGTTCTCTGATTATAGAATCCAGAGGCTTAAAAGGGAAAGGCTGGTGGCAAGCAACAACAAAATCCGAGACCAAGCCTCAGGGCCATTAGTGGCAAAGTTCTCTCAGCCTTTGGAAGAACCAAGCAGCGATTTGGAGAGATCCACAAGAAGTTCTAGCCTATGCAGGACACCAGGCTCCTCAGGTTCCAGCTGCTCCAATGAAGAGCCAGAACTGGGCAAATGCAGCCACTGTGGACGCAAATTTCTCTTGCTCAGGCTGGAGAGACACTCTGTCATCTGTGGCAGGATGCAGGGTTCCAAGAGGAAAGTGTTTGACTCCTCCAGGGCCCGGGCTAAAGGCACGGAGCTAGAGCAGTACTTGAATTGGAAGGGGCCAGCTGCAGTCAAGGTAATAAAAACCTTGTGGATTTGACTTTGTATATGGATCCTTGTGAGGACCTATTATGTTCTCACCGGTTTCTTTAGGGAAAACTCATGTGTCTTGTAGGCTGAAGGTGGGAATTAATACTTGTTGAGCATTCATATGTGCCAGGCACCATGACAGGAGTTTTTCATGGGATTTTTACAACTCTGTGATGGTGACATTATCTCTCATTTTATCAGTTCAGATATCAACGCTCAGACCTATCCTAAACACTCAAACACACACACACACACACACACACACTCTCTCACACCAAGGCTTATACACGTCAAGTAACTTTCTTGAGGTCATAGCTTTAAGTGGCAGGGCCAATATGTAAATATTGGTTGGGCTGAAAAAATCTAGAATTAAAGAAATAGGTGCCCTTTTGGTTATAAAAGTAGTACATGTTTATACCACAGAAACTTTTTTAAAAACATGAAACACCCAAAGAAAAACTATGAAGCATTTTATGTTCATTTTCTTGGCTCCTTGTTTTTGGCAATATGCTGTCACCTTCCAAGACTAGCATCTGTCACCACTCCTTTAGCTCTATCTTTTCTTTCTAGATTAGCTTCTTAGTAAATATAAGAAGCACAACTACATTTGAATTTTTTTCCTCTCTTTTCAGAGTGTAAACACCTTGAAGGTAGGGACTTTTATTTTTATTTTTTTGTACTGGAGACCTTTTGGTTTATCTGTTTTTGGTTATCTCTCAAAAAATTCCTCCTGTTAGAAAAAGCAGGTTGTAAAATGTATGCGCTTCAAAACACTGACATATAAGTTCAGGGGAACTTCATAGATATATTTGGACAGATGTGGAGGAGATTGTCTCATAAATAACCTGATTGTCAAGGTTGTACAACTTGGTTTGTAATATGAATATTTCTAAAAGTGTGGCATGCTGACAAAGTGTTGTATATTAGTTTTTGTGAATATTAGAAAAATACAAAAACATGTTAAGCTATAATTATAATATCTGGGGATCATGAATTTAAAGAATTGTAGTAAAGAAAACAAAGTTGTCAGCGTTGGAGATCCTAGGCCATAAGATTGATCTCAAAGGCCCCATTTAGCTCTAATGTTCTAGGAAAATGAAATTGTCCTCTGTCTTTATTTCTTTGCTGTGCAGGCACCTCTCTCATCTACTAGTTTATGTGTGTATTTGCTGAGGCCCTTCCAAAACTCACATTGATGTGATGGCCATTAAGAGATGTATTCAAGTTCTTTTCTCTCAGAAAAGATAATCTCCCTGAAACATAGCTTCCAACACAAAGCCAACATTTTGCACCAGCAAATGACAGGATGGCTAGTTACTGTTTTTTCTTGTTTTCTTTTTGGTTAACTCAGTAATCCACTGGGGAATCCTTTGTCCCACCATAGCAATTTATTTTTGGCCACAACCTAAAAGAATCTTGTGCTTCTTAAATTCCTAAATATAGTAGCAATGAAGCAAAAGAATTAGGTTTCTGAGGTCAAGATGCCCCACCTTTGTGAAAACAAATTTGAGGGAATGTGTTGCATTGAGGACCCCAAGACAGGATTGAGATGGACCCACTCCTGAGAATGCCCCAAGGCTTACTCCAGACCACTTTGCCTTTGGAAGCTGTCATTCCTCTAGTGCACTCCCAAGAACAAATGATTTTCCGGATATCCTTTTATCTTTATATTACTTGTATCTCTTGTCTACTGGAAGGTAAGCACTTGAGGACAGGAACCACACACACATCTTTGTGTTTTGTGCTTACAGTGTTGAGTAAAATTAATTATGATAAATAATTAAAAGATAATATTGTATATTTAGGGAAGCTTCCCCTAATTGAATTCTCTTTAAGGTCCCTGGACACCATCTCTAACACTGACTCTTTTGCTGCCTTCGAGACTTTCTTAATGGATCCTTTCTCTTTCTTTGGTAGTATTTCTCAATGTTATCAAGAGCTTTTTGACCTCTATTTTTCTTCTTTTAAAGATTAATTTCAATTAATATTTGCATGCATTTAAAAAATCATATAGTACTCATCTACAGTGCAGATCAGTGGTATCCTTCACTGACCTTTCATCCAGCCCTCATTTCTGTTACATGGTTCTTTTGATATGCATATCATATTTAGAATATTTACATATCCTAAATGATTATTTTCTTGATTTTCCAATATTCTGCATTATCTGGTGATTTCTTATGGAACTGCAAATTCCATAAGAATATCCTATTTCCACTGCCCTTACTTTTTTTCCACCCCTTTTCCTTCACTGTAGCTGAATCACTATTTTGGGTTTTATTCATTAGTTGGCTTTTTACCTGACCGTCTACATTTTGTTCACTGATGCGAGAACAAATTTTGCCCCGTCCACATGTACCTCGAGTTAAAAACTGACTTATGTTTTCATTTCCTTCATCTTCTACATGTCTATCTCTAGTTTATTTTTCCTAAGAGATCCATCTGATGTCAGACATCTGTTTATGTTTTCTTAAGTGCTCAAACACCTCTCATAACGTTAGCACCAGTTTTATTTTCCTGAAAATCCCCTTTCCTCTACTCTTTCTCCTCTTGCTTCAGTCTGGACTGGCTCTTTTCCAGGCCTGGTGCAGACCTGTTTTTTGGGGGGACTTCTCTTAGCTTCTCTTCTGTGTTGGATCCTCTATTTTCAGTATCCT